GTGAGTTTTAAGCCACCGGGTCCGGGACACAAACCGTGGTTGACTACGTGGGAGTCCAGCGAAATAGCCATTACGCTAACTGCTGGTTCCCAACCCCAAACTTTTAAAAAGTAGTAAAAGGCAGGCTATTAAACAATTTTTGACTTTAAAAAAATCATTGATCTTTTTACCAAACTGATGCGTTGTAAAAATTGCCCTCCCCGTAAAATGCACATACTAAAGCCTTTCTAGTGACTGCACCATTACGTAACTCATTCAACATGTATTAATAGCCTTTCTGTCTTTCCAGCATTCAAGATGTCGAAGCGAGGACGTGGTGGGTCCTCCAGGGCAAAGTTCCGGATTTCCCTGTGTCTTCCAGTAGGCGCCGTGATCAACTGTGCTGACAACACACGAGCCAAAAATCTGTATATCAGCTCTGTGAAGGGGGTCAAGGGACGGCTGAACAGGCTTCCTGCTGCTGGCGTGGGTGACATGGTGATGGCCACGGTCAAGACAGGCAAGCCAGAGCTCAGGAAGAAAGTGCATCCAGCAGTGGTAATTTACGACGAAAGTCATGCTGGAGAAAAGATGGTGTATTTCTTTATTTTGAAGATAATGCAGGGGTCATAGTGAACAATAAAGGTGAAATGAAAGGTTCTGGCATCACGGGACCAGTGGCAAAGGAGTACGCAGACTTGTGGCCCAGGATTGCATCTAATGCTGGCAGCACTGCATGATTCTCCAGTGCGTTTGTAAAAAATAACAACCAAAAACATTAAAAACTATTTGCCCCCCCCCTAAAAAACAACAACAAAAACATGTATTAATAGAATGAATGCTTGCTGTGTCCCAGAGTCAGATGTAAACAGATACACACACAAGTTCCTTTTCCACATGGACTTACATCACAGAGATGAAGACAGAAAATCTTAAAAGAGTGCCTAAATAATTGCAGGTTAAGAGGACCCCTAATTTAGGACAAGAGATAAACCTCAAATCTAAAGAGGTAATAATGTTGTGTCAATTAAAGAAAAAGAAGGACCAGCAAATAGTGTAATGATTATGTCACTGGACTCCCACATAGCCGACCGCGGTTTGAGTCCTGGACCTGGTGGCTTCAAACTCACACTGGGCAGGTTCATGTGCGTGCCCTAGATCCCGAGAGGAGAATGGAGAAGAGATTGTGGAGCAATCATCCCCCTTGGGGGGTAATTTCTTGCTTCCTGTTTCTCTGTCTTTCTGGTGAGTGCACATACACTACAGCAAAATTTTTAAAGATAAATAAATAAAATTCAGGAACCAGCAGTTGGTGTAAGAGCTATGTTGCTAGACTCCCATGCTGTTGACAGAGGTTGGAGTCCCGGACCTGGTGGCTTAAACTCACACCAAGCACATGTGTGTGCCTGCCCAAGATCCCAAGAGGAGAATGGAGAAGGGATTCCTGCATGGCCATTCCCCGTGTGGGGTGATTTCTCACTTTCTACCTCTCTGTCTCAGTCTTTCTGACGAGTGCATGCGCCCTATAGCAAAAACCTCTCCAAAATAAATAAATATATAAAATTTTAAAAGAAAAAAAAGTTATCTCCTTAGAAATTGTTGTGGCTTGGGGACCAGCAGATGGTGTAGAGGTTAAGGTGCTGGACACTCCCACATGGTTGACCACAGTTTGAGTCCCGGACCTGGCAGCTTGCTTTCTCTCTCTCTCTGGTCAAATGAAAAGATAAATGAATAAATAAAAATTAAAGAAAAAAAATTTTAAAGAAATTGTTGGGGCTGACAGGTGGCATGGTAGTTAAAGGCGCTAGATTTCCACATGGCCAACTGCGGGTAAAGGCCTGGACCTAGTAATTATTTGGTTTTCAGAAAATGGGGGCAGAGAACCTTAAAAAACGAATGTTACATGGCTGGTCATATCCTACTACGTGCACCAAGACTAAAAAGATGAAAAGAAAAATTTCTCAGAGGCTCTCCAGAGCAATGAAAGAACTTGTTTTTCATATTTATAAGCAAAAGAGCTTTCGTCATCACTGAATTTTCAGGGTGTGCGATCAGCACAGGAGTCAAAGTACACTGTGTCCTGCTCACAGGTGGCTGCCGGTCAGACGTAGATTCTCTATCTGGAGAAAAGAGGCAGGGGAAAGACACTAGGGAAAAGTCAACTAGCTGAGGTTTAAAAATGAATGTTTACTTCCTTTAACATCTTCATTTTAATAATTACTTTATATAACTTCATTCATTGTCATTAGTTTATTATTATTATTATTATTGAACTTGACCAGAGAGAGAGAAGGAAAGTGAGAAAGCAAGCTGCCAGGTCTAGGACTCAAACCTCAGTCAGCCATGTGGGAATCCAGCCACCTTAACCATCACACCACCTGCCAGCCCCAGACATCTTTGTTCTGAAAAAATGTCTCCTCTCTAAATTTTCCCTCCTCTGTGTCCCACAAGGAAAGCAGTTTTTCTTCTAAAGATGTGTAGTAGTCTGGACCATGAGGAGCTTCCCGAAATGTCCTTTGTAATTAATATGTTAAAACTTTTTTATTACGCTATTTATGACTTATTCGATAACAAAAATGCTCAAGCGTAAGTTTTTGATTTATGTAGACTTCAAAAGAAACTCGAGTACCAAAATTTGACCCCAAAAAATGCAGTATACTAACATCTACTGTGTTAAATGACCTTTTCTCAAACAGCTGTCTCTTCCCTTCCTCAAAAATCTTAGCAAACAAAAACTCCTTTCAGAAAATCTAATTCAACTAGAAAGTTAAATTTTTAAAATGATTCCCAGATGAAACATTTTGGTTTTAAAAATCTACGGTAGGGACCAGCAGTTTAGCGTAATGGCTATGTCGCGGGACTCCCATGTAGTTGACCGCAATTCACCTCCCGGACCCGGTGGCTTAAACTCATGCCGGGCGCGTGTGCGTGCATGCGCAAGATCCCGAGAGGAGAATGGAGAAGGGATTGTGGCGTGGCCATCCCCCCTGGGGGGTGAATTCTCGCTTTCTCTCTCTCTCTCTCCCTCAGAGAGAGAAGAAATTATCCCGCAGGGCGATGGCCACACCGCAACTCCTTCTCCTTTCTTACCTTGTGATTCTGGCCATGCACGCACATGCGCCAGCTGTGTTTTTCAAGCTGTTGTGTCCATAACACCAACCAGTCTGCCACACACGATCCAGCTGCCTTAACCACTGTGCCACCAGCTGGCCCAGCACTTACTTATGATCATTAAATGTTTTGTGAAAACTTGCCTTGAAGAGGCTGGGGAAGAAAGAGGAAAAACTATGCCTTTAAATTCCTTTCATTTCATGGAATTAATTTTTATTTAGTTTAGTTTTTTTTTTTTTTTTGGAGAGATTTTCACTGTAGGGCACGTGCGCTCGCCAGACAGACAGAGAGAGACATAGAGACAGAAAGCGAGAAATCACCCCCCAGGGGGGATGGCCACGCTGCAATCCCTTCTCCTCCATTCTCCTCTCGGGATCTTGGGCACGCACACGCACCCGGCGTGAGTTTTAAGCCACTGGGTCCGGGACACGAACCACGGTCGACTACATGGGAGTCCAGCGACATAGCCATTACGCTAACTGCTGGTTCCCTTTAGGTTCTTTAAAGAGAGATTTTTGCTATATAGCATGTGCACCCCGGGGAGGTGGCCACACTGCAATCCCTTTTCTTCCACTTTCCTTGTGGGATTTTGGGCACGCACACACCCACACCTGGTGTGAGTTTTTAAGCCGCCAGGTCTGCAACCTGAAGCATGGTTGACTACATGGAGTCCAGTGATCTATTCCATCTGCTGGTCCCTGGAATTAATATTTTTATGGTTCTCTTTGAAAGACACATTGAATAAAAATTCCCTGTAAATAAAATCAGAAAATAAAATATGTCAATCTTGTAGTAGTTGTTTTACATTAGGTCTTGTAATGAGTTTTAGCAGAACTAGTTTTTGCAATTCACATATCATGGTATTTTTAAATTACAAAATAGTTACTACGTCTTTAAAAAAATATAATTATTTATTTAATTTTTAAATTTATTCATCCGTTTATTTTAATTTGACCAGAGAGAGACAGAGAGAGAGAGGGGGGGGGAGTAAGAAAGCAAGCCACCAGGCGCAGGACTTGAACCGTGGCCGGCCATGTGGGAGTGTCCAGCGCCTTAACCACCATGCCACCCACTGGTCCCAGTCACTACGTTTTCATTCTGTTTGAAAAGTACCTGTTCCTAGTCTTAAAATCAAACTCCTGACATTAGCAGAACAGCAAAAACTAGCCACATAGTTTACTCAAACTTTTTTATGCATTTAGTATTTCTTAAAGAATTATTTTATTTATTTAACTTTATTTATTTATTTGTTTATTTTAATTTGACCAGAGAGAGACAGAGTCAGAAAGAGAGAGGGAAAGTGGGAAAGCAAGCTGCCAGGTCCAGGGCTCAAACCATGGTCGGCTATGTGGGAGTCCAGCACCCTTAATCACCATGCTGCCTGTTAGATCCTATGCATAAAGTTTTTAAAAGAAATACTGTGAAACTTTCTACTAAAAGTGCAATGTTAGAAATGATCATAAATGGAGTGAAAAAGCAGTTTGAGCCTTAAATAATTTTTTTAATGTCTTCTATTGCTAAAATACAGACTTTGGTTTTGAACAAAAGGCTTTAGATGAAAAACCCACTAGAATAAAAATCACAAATATATTTCTTAAATCTCTACCACATAATACGAAGACAAATGCATAGAAGGCAAACAAAACAAAACAAAATGATCTTCATCCATCTTGAATTTGGCTTTTATTTTAAAATACATTTATTTAGCATAGATCTGTCATCGGACAGGAAATAATAAGACACAAAGAAATAAAATACTTTCAAATACATTTTAACCTAGACACAAAAATTAATAGGATAGCAAAACTCAAACTATGGAAACCTAAAATTCAATTCATTAAACACATACTTAGAAAGAAAAAGCTCTTTTCACATTTTCCAATGTACCGATATATTCTCAATTGCCTTTTCCTAGTAGGTAAAGGGCCCAAATTTAGTTGCTTTACTTAAAATTATCAGACTCAGTTTGGGTAAAAAATTACCATGTCCCTAAATTCTCAGTCAGAATTATAAAAATATGAGCTCAAATAGTTATGCTGCCCAAAATAGACACATCTTAAGTGATACTTCTGTATAATCATATAGATATTGCACTAAAATCAGTAATTCCATACCTGATGTTCATTTATAGGGAAAGCTAATTGTCTTCTTTATGAAAAACCTACAAATAAACTTAACTTAATGTTAACCTAATTACAATCACACTTCAAAATATAAAGGCACGGACAGACAAAAGAATAGCTTAATATTATACCCAAATTTTCCACTGTGAAAATAAGAAGTTGAAAAAAATAATAGGATTGAAAATTCTTATTTTTAGATTATAGAATTTACCTTGAGTAGCTCATAAATGGGTATTAAAAGTGAACGTGCTAAATCTAATCTTTTCCAAATAATTTAGAAAAAAGGTTTGTTTCCATGTGCATTGTCCCATCTATAAATTTCAACTACATTTCCACTCATTGGAAATATCTACCAGCAGTATAAACATTCAAGACAATGTACAAAAAAATATATCTTGTTCCTATAACTTACAATGCACAGAAAAATACCTACAAAAATGGAAATAGTTATCCACTTAGCTTTTCGATAAATTAGTGAGAAAGTTTAGCCCATTCCACATTTCTTCCTCAAAAATGGCTAAAGAGTGAAGGGTGTTCACTTCTATCCCTCTGTTTTTAAAATGGCCTGATTATATGTAACTTAACATTTTATTTCTATATCACAGTATACATGGCATTTCGTAATTCAGCAACAAAAAGGCACAATTAGCAAGCAATAAAATTCAGTACCTGACTTATTAAAATGATATCCAGAACAGTTGCAAATAAAGTACATTCAATACAGTGTACAGAACTTAGGGGGAAAAAAGACAAACAAAAAAAAATTGAAAATGAATTTTTCTAAAAATTTGGTCCATTGAAAACGCCCCCCATGTCCAACCTCATGGGTAACAGGAAAGGTGATGGCAGTGTAAAGAGAGGCAGTAAATCAACATGTGGTAGCATAGGAATTCTGCTCTAGTGGTTATGCAATTCAATTAGGAAATGGCTCCCATTGTAAATATATGTTAACTATATTTGTTAATAATGACATACCTGTATTAAGTCCAAATACACAGGCACAACTGTTTGCATATTATTATTGATTTTATAATACACCCCCATGGTTAAAAAAAACTTAGGCATATTATTTTATATATAACATATACTAGATATAAAATTGCATATTATATACCTTAATATATATTATATATAACCTGAATCGATAACAGCACAAAATTCTTCAAATATTACATGGACATTCTAAATGGATACTTATCATTTTCTCAATACTGAAAAAGTTCAGTTCACCTAAAATATTTGAATGTGCAATGATAAAATGCACTGACTCTTACGAATTTACTTAAATAATTATTTAAGTTAAATTCCTGCAAAAGCCTAACTCTGATCTGGCTTTTACTAGAATATATTTTTATATATCAGTAACCGACACCTTTCTTTAATAAAAAAATATTTCTCCATCAAGAGATACCAATAAAGGAAAATATGTAAGGAACCAGACATGTGATGGAGAAACCAACTGTCCCGTAGGTAATATACCGGTAAGGGAGTTCAACTTCCATGTGTTGTCTTGCTTTTCGAATATCATCACATGGTATTTTGAAGATTTTACAGGCTAAAGGAATGGTGATCTTTTTCATTATATCTCTGACTATGAGTACAACCACCATCCCTATGAGAACCCGCAACATGGCTTTTCCAATCAGAGTCACAGTAATGGGGGGCATAGCTAAAGGTAATGTATCTAGAGAAGGATCTAATATTAGACCCATGTTGTAAGAAACATGAGATCCACATGCAATTCCAGCACCACTTCCTAGAATCTCGGCTGTGTCTCCTCGGGATGTGCTCCAGGTGTCAAGAGTGAAAGAAAAGATCCCCAAAGCTAAATGAAGCCCAATGATGAATAATGGAGCATATTTGTGAGTTTGGTTGAAGTTGTCAATCAGGTCCACAAATGGATAGAAGACAGCTAAGATTAAAAGGGTATATAGGAATCCAGCAATAATATCCTGGGAAAAGATAAAAGTATAGCTGTTTAGTATAATCCTATTTTTGGCATTTTAAATAGATATATTTCATATTTCACTTGCTAAATAGACAAACATTTTTAAAAGTTGTGAAAGTGTCAAAGTAAACTTTACCAATTGACCTACAACAGGCACTAAAAACTGTTTTAATGATAATAAAAAGATTTATTAATAATATTGTTTTCATAGTTCTACCCTTTTGTAAACTACACATATAATATACACAAAGTTATATTCAAGCTATATTCAAATTCTGAACAATCAATTATACTTTACAGTGTAGTTTTAATTTCTAGGAAAAACAGTATACTTATAATTTAAAAAATTATCTCCATTTCCATGCATTTAAAATATAATTATCTCCATGATCAAAGAGGACATATCAATAAATCCTAGGTAGTTTTTTGTCCTCACTCACTCACTTACTCATTCATTCATTCACTCACTGAACAAATACCTATATGTGCCTGGTGCTATTTTAGGAGCTGAGGACATACTGCTTAAAAAAGTGACAAGGTTACTGCTGTTACAAAGCCTACATTTTAGTGGGGAAGACTCACAATAGCAACAAAAGGAAGCAGATAAATACTAAGATTCCATATGGTTTAAAATGTTATGAAGCATCTAAAGCAAGACAATGGGATGGTATGATGAAGGACCCTATTAGAATGATTAGAGAAGCCTGTCTGGGGGAGGTGACACTTGAATAGAAATTTGATTCTAAAAGTGAGCCAGCTCTGCCTTTTGAGCTAGAGAACAGTGTTCCACAGAATGGGAATATCAAGTGCAAAGGTCTTCAAGTGGAAAAGAACTTGGTGAATCAAGACACAGAGAAATCCAGTATGACTCAAACAGTTAGTGAAAGAGAAGGGGGATGTGACATGAGGTCAAAGAGAGAGACAGAGGTCCAATCATGTAGGCCAGGTAAAAATCCTAGATTTTATTTCAAACATGATAGGAAGCATTGAAAGATTTCAAAGCTGGAGTGTAAAATAATCTGACAGGTATTTGTAAAAGAGCACTCCATCTGCTTTGTAGAGAATGGATTATAGGGGAAAGGTGTGGACATCAGAAAACCACTGAAGACACTAGTAGGGGCCAGTCTCAGTAGCACAGTGATCACAGCATTCTGCTGATCCTGCATGGGAAGGTCCTGGGCCTGTGTCCTGAGGTCTCCCTATACATGCTAGGTAGGCACACACAAGCCTATAATCCGGGCTGGCTGAGGCTAGGGGTGGACTGTGGCATAAAGTCTCTGTTGGGAGTGAGTGCCTCTCTCCCTCCACTCTCACCTCTCATGGGAGAAATAAACAAACATAAGAAGAAAAAAGACACGAGGAGGAGGGTACAGCAGTGGCCCACTCTAGACATGGTCCATATCTACATGAAGAGATGTATAGATGGATTCAGAAAAATATTTTAAAATTAGATTGACAACTTCAACTTGGTGATGGTTTGGATACAGCAAAGAAGCAAAAGGGAAAGGGAACAAAAATGACTCCAAGTTTTAGGCAGGAGCAACTGGGTAGGTGATAAAAGATAGTTTATCAGAGGAAAAAACTATTATTAAAATAATGTTCCTTTGAATTGTTCTGCCAACATAGAAAAACGTTCTATAATTTCTACCTTAAAACAAAATCCAATCCTGGTTTCTTACTGAAAAATGTATTAAAGGGTTTTCTTTGGGACCAGCATATGTCAGAATGGTTATGTCGCTGGACTACCATGTAGTCGACTGTGATTCGAGTCCAGACCAGCGGCTTAAACTCATGCAGGGTGTGTGTGCGTACCCAAAATTCTGAGGGGAAAATGGAGAAGCGATTGCGGTGTGACCATCACCCCAGGGAGTAATCTCTCAATTACTATCTCTCTGTTTCTCTCTCTATCTCTGACAAGCGCACACACTCTATAGTGAAAAGTCTCCCTTTAAAAAAAAGAGAGAAAGAGAGAGTTCTCTTTATGGCATTTACTTCTAAACCTTAATTTTAACGTAGTCATATTTGACAGTACTGGTTAAGAACGTCTTTCTTGGGAACCAGCAGTTGGCATAATGGCTATGTCGCTGGACTCCCATGTAGTCGACCACGGTTCGCATCCCAGACCCAGTGTCTTAAAACTCACGCCGCGCGCATGTGCGTGCGTGCCCAAGATCCCGAGAGGAGAATGGAGGAGAAGGGATTGCGGCGTGACCATCCCCCCTGGGGGGTGATTTCTCACTTTCTGTCTCTATGTCTCTGTCTGTCTGGCGCACATGCCCTATAGCAAAAACCTCTCAAAAAAAAAAAAAAAGAAGTCTTTCTTAACAAAAACAGTATGTTATTCAAAAGGTTTACCTTTCACATTTAATACTTTGATACACTCAAAATTGATTTTGACTCTAGTGTGAAGTAGGAATCGAAATTATTTTTATTTTCTTATAGATAACCAATTAGTCCAATCCCCCACAGATCTGCAACGCCTTCTTCCTGACATGCCAAGTTTGCACATGTGCATACTGTATTTCTAGGCTCCCCTGTTTTATTGGTTACTGGCACTCTGTTCCAGTGCCAGTCTCATTACTGTTCCCTTCTGATAAGCTCTGATGAGGTGAGGCTAGTAAGCCCCTCCTTTTATTATTCAAACATTGCTTTTGAATTTCTTAGTTCTTCTTGCGCCAGTCATTGCTCTTCTAAGTGAGCTACAGAATCAGCTTCTTACATTTCTTAAAAAACCTTGTTCGAATTTTTTTTAAAGAATTATAAAATAACTCCATCATTATTTTTGTTTGTTTGTTTTAATTTGACCAGAGAGACAGAGAAAGAAAATGTGAGAAAACAAACTGCCAGGTCTGAGACTCAAATGCGCTCAGCCATATGGGAGTCCAGCATCTGTAGCCACCATGCCACCTGCCAGCCCTCCTTGTTTGGATTTTGATTGGTGTTAACTTATAGGTAAATTTAAGTAAAAATAATGTTTTTACTAAAACAAGTCTTCCCACCGATAAAATGATAGCTCTTTGCTTAAAGCTTTTCAATGTCTAAAACCATTTAAAACAATTTCGTAATATGGGTCTTTAACAATTATTCGTAGGTACCTGATATTTGTAGCTGTTATAAAAGTATTTATTAAATGTTTTTAAACTTTTGTTTCTGTGTATAAAAACAACAGATCTGCAAAACTTTCTCTTACAGCTAGCTATATAGATAATTTATTACTTCCATAAAGGTTTTTTTGGATTTTGAATACAAACTATTCTTTATGAATATGAAAATTTTGTATCATCTTTTTTTTTAGATTTTTGCCATAAGGCACATGCACTCACTGGAGAGAGACACAGAAGAAAAGTGAGAAATCATCTCCAAGGGGGGATTGGCCACACCACAATTCCTTCTCCTCCATTCTCTTCTAGGGATTTTGGGCACTTGAACATGTGCCTGGCATGTTTTTCAAGCTGCCAGGTCCGGGACCCAAAATGCAGTCAGCCATTTGGGATCTAGCGCCTAACCACCATGTTGCCTGCTGGCCCCATGTATCTTCTAATTGTAATCTTTTTTTTACTCATCACACTGGCTTATACTGCCTAAACAATGTGGAATAGAAGCATTAGTATCTTCTTTTGTTGATTTGTTTTGGGGCGTGTGTGCTCACCAGAGAGAAGGAAATTGAGAACGTACTCTCCCCAACCCTGCAGGAAAGGTGACACCATGATTCCTTAGGGTTTTGGGCACACATGCCAGGCAATATTTCTCAAGCCACGAGGTCTAAGACTCAAATAGTGCAGTCAGCCATGTGGGATCCAATTACCTTAATCACCATGCCACAGGCTGGCCCAGCAATAATATGAATTGAAATATCTTTTTTTTTTTTTTAATTTGCTATAGGGCACATACACTCACTGGAGATAGACTGGGGTTGGTAGTGAAAAAGCACCCCCTGGGGGGAATGGTCATACCACAGTCCCTTCTATTCCATTCTCTTCTTGGGATTTTTGGACACATATACACACACACACATACACGTGTGTGTGCAAGGTCAGTGTGTCTCTAAGCCGCTGGATCCAGAACTCTTCACATTCTGCCATGTGGGATCCAGTCACCTTGACTACCTCGCCAATGGCTGGTCTTGCAAAATTATTTAATATTTGTCTTCACTGCTCCAAAAACTTGATCATGTCGAGAACTATTTTAATTTTGCCTACCCATATGCAGGCCCTTTTACTCATACACAGCCTGATATAGTACACATTCTACAAACACATAATATTGATTAAAGGCCAGTTTTTTCAATGCACTAAATTAGGTTAAGATAAAAACTCCCACCATTATTCTCACTGTATATCAGGTCAATAAAAATTTCGTCATGGGTTGGCAGAGTCAATAGTACAGGGCTTCAAACTACTGTTCTACATGATGTTTGATTCCAAATCAGAATACTAGGAATTCAAGAACAGCTACAGAAGATACAGACGATACTAAAGAGACTAAGAACTGAATATGGAGGGACAGCCAGTGGCTTGGTGATTAGGGTGGCTGGATTCCTCACAGCCGACTTCGCAGTTCAAGTCTCAGACAAGGTGGCTTGAAAAACATGTCAGGCTCATGTGTGTGCATGTCCAAAATCCAGAGAGGATGGAAGAGATGGTGTAGTCTTTCTTCCTGGTGGGGGAGGGGAGGGTAGTGCTCTATTGCTTTCCCTTTCTGTCTCTGTCTTTCTCTTTCTCTCTCTCTCTCTGGCAAGTACACTCAACCCTATAACAAAAAAAAAAAAATTTTTTTTAAAGATAACTGAAACCATGCTGGATATTTGACCAAATCACTAAATATTTCATTTTTCAAAAAGAATGGTATCAGGGCCAGCAGGTGGCATGGTGGCTAAGGGCGCTGGACTCCCACATGGCCGACCCAGTTTGATCCTGGACCTGGTGGCTTGCTTTCTCCCTCTCTCTCTCTGTTCCTCTCTGGTCAAATTAAAATAAACAACTAAATAAAGTTCAATAAAATAATTCTTAAAAAAAAAAAAGAATGGTATCTTCGAGATTATGCATTCAATATAATCAGATTCTTATTTCTCTTTGTATAATGGTAATGAATCTCAGAATAATACCTAATTATCTTTTCCTCCAAGAAATACCAGAGGTTCCTTTTATTCTTTACTTGCCGAGGGTATGTTTGTTTGTTGGCTTTTTTTTTTTTTTTGAGAGTTTTTTTTTGCTATAGGGTGCGTGCGCTCGCCAGACAGAGAGAGACATAGAGACAGAAAGTGAGAAATCACCCCCCAGGGGGGATGATCACGCCGCAATCCCTTCTCCATTCTCCTCTCGTGATCTTGGGCACGCACGCACACACGCCCGGCTTGAGTTTTAAGCCACCGGGCCCAGGACGCGAACCATGGTCAACTATGTGGGAGTCCAGCGACACAGCCATTACGCTAACTGCTGGTTCCCCCAAGGGTATGTTTGTTTGACAGAGAGAAACAGAGTAAGAGAGAAGAGAAAGCACGCCCCTCCCACATGGGGCACGGTTATGCCGAATCCCTTCTCTTCCATGTCTCCATCCTGCTGAGTTTTGGGGCAAGCACACACATGTACCTGACGTGTTTTTCAAGCTGCTGGGGTGGAAATTCAAACTGTCATCAGCTATGTGGGTGATCCAGCATCCTTAACAACTAGGGTTTGGGTCAGGCCCCAAGGTTCATTTTTATCACTCAAAGATGCATAATCATTTGGCAGATTTCTAGAAGGGTGAAAAGATTTCTGAGGGTAAAAAGGAGTGATTCAAACTAGGCACAGAGGATAGATAATATTCTCTGGTGGCAAATATTAAATTTCACATAAAGATAGGATAGTCTAATTATAAAATTTATAAAAAATTAGAAAAATTATATGCAAATTCACAGCTGTACTGAATACAATGATAAAAAGTTCACATATAACTTATTTATTAAAACAGTGTTTGCGACTTCTGAAAATTTACTAGTGAAGGAAAAGTGGAGTCAAGAAACTTAAGAAATAGAAGCCAGCATTTCTACAGCTCTGAAATACAGTAATGAGACATAAGTAGAAAATTGTAGGAATGTTAAATTGTTAAGGAAAAGAAAAGAATTGATATGATCCATTAGAAATTTTAGGATTACATTAATTCATTTTTCATCTTTTATTCTATAAGATAATTTACAGTATATTTGTAGAGTTTCTTAAGAGACACCATAGTTAGATTCTGAGGATAAATAAAACACACAGTTACTGTTCTCTAGAAACTTCTTTACAGTCTAACGCAGCTGACAGATAAGGATAAAAGGACCCAATTTAGGGGAAGTAGGAGAAAGGTTGCCTATCCAATCTTGAGAAAGAGAAGACAGGGAAAGTAACAAAAACATCTGCAGTGAATCTTGAAGAACGAGTGGGATAGTCAGCGAGGCAAACCAAGTGAAAAGGACATTTAAAGCAAAAGTTACAGCATTCCTAAAGTTATGGAGGTAAGGAATGTCCTTTGCATTTGAGGAAACATACACAATTCCATATGATATATGTGAGTTTAAAAAAGTCTACTAAACAAATCATGAGGGCCAGCCAGTGGTGTAGTTGTTAAAGCGGCTGAATTCCATATAGATAATTGCGCAGTTCACGTCCTAGACCCCGGTGGTTTGAAAAACAGGCTGGGAGCATGTGCATGCATGCCCAAACTCCAAAGAATAGAGAAGAGGGGACTGTGGTGTGGCTACCTTACCTGGGAATTGCTTTTTCACTTTTTCTCTCTCTAACAAGTAAACATACCCTATAGCAAATTTATTTTTAAAAGATAAATAAATAGAACAGGAGGCTACAGGACAGAACAATGTCAAACAGGAAGTAGGACTACTAATTAAGAAATTTCTGAGGACCAGAAGTTGGCGTAATGGCTATGTCACTGGACTCCCATGTAGTAGACCACGCTCTGAGTCTGGACCCAGTGGTTTAAACTCACGCTGGGCACATATACATGTATGCCCAAGATTGCGAGAGGAGAATGGAGAAGGGATTGTGGTGTGGCCATCCCTGGGGGTGATTCCTCGCTTTCTGTCTCTCTGTCCCTCTCTGTCTTTCTGGTGAGTACACGCGCCCTTACAGCAAAAACCTCTCCAAAAAAAAAAAAAAAAGAAAGATATTTCTGCAGAATATGGTCAAGAAATGCAGTCCAGAACTAAGGGGAATCAGTGGCAGAGTAGGTGTGCCTGCAACTATACTGTGCAAGGTCTCTGTGCTGGTATGTTTGAAAGTGAATTACAGTGACCAGCAGTTAGCGTAATGGCTATGTCACTAGACTCCCATGTAGTCGACCGCGGTTCAAGTCCCGGACCCAGTGGCTTAAACTCACTCTGGGCACATGTGTGTACATGCCCAAGATCCCGAGAGGAGAATGGAGGAGAAGGGATTGCGGGGCGGCCATCCCCCCTGGGGGGTGATTTCTCGCTTTCTGTCTCCCTATCTATCTCTGTCTCTCCGGCAAGTGCTCACACCCTATAACAAAAACCTTTCAAAAAAAAAAGTGATTTACATTCTCAAAAATATATATATATGATGCCAATCCTAAAATATTGATGGAAAAGAGAAGAAAAGTAGAATTTAATATATAAATACAAATGGTACCAGGATAGTGCAAGTTCAGTTAGTCTCTCTAGTCATTAGATCTTTGTTAATACTTAGAGCTCTCCTTGGTTTCTGTATTCAGTTGTTGGTTTGATTAAGTAATAGGAGAGGCATAGAAGAGACTGCAAAGGAAAATAAAACTGAAAGAGGAAGGAGGAAGAAACGTTATCCTGAGTATACTACTTGGCCATTCTGATTCCTGTAATCTATTTCTATAAAATATATGATTACTACATTAAAACTTTATAAAGCATTGTGTTGATATTTTTACAAACAAAGTTACATGACTTACAATAACTATTTTCTAATTTAGGTTTTGTATAAGTTTACAAATGATTAGAAAGATGAAATTGCCTCTCAATGTCAGAAAAAAATAAAGCATTAAGAACAAGATGTTTTCCTTACCAGAATGGAGTGCATTCCCATGTAAATTCTACTTAGGCAAACTAGAGAACACCAGCAGGGAATAAGAATCAGTCCATATATAAGAGGATACTAAGGGGGGAAAAAAGTAAAATTAGTTAAACAAAATAAATTAGACATAAACAAGCAAATAAAAAGAACTATGTGTTTTTTACTCCCCATTGTATTCCCAGCACCTAGACCTGTACATACATAGGACACATTCAAGAAATACTTTTGTACAGATGGACAAATGAATGAAATCTCAGGTTTCTGCATTTTTCATTGCAGGAACAGGCTCAGTGTTGTCTCTACAGTAAATATTCCATCACTGTCAGGCTACGAAAGAGTAATAGGCAGCGGACATATTTTTAAATATGGCTCAAAAACGAAAGCACCTCTGGAGTAGGACCTGAATCTGTCCATGAGAAGGCCCTCACTTTCCTGGGAAGTGTTACTGGGCATCATCTCCCACTCATGTCTATCAGTGACTGCTATCTGCAATTCATGTTGACATTTCCCGCCCTCTATTCAATATTCAACACCTTGTAGTTTTCCATGCCTCTGTGAATTCCTCAATGAAACTGAGGCCAGTGTGACTGGAATAGAATAGTGAAGCTGAAAGACGGGAGTAGGGTTGCAAAGAAGAGTAGTCAAGATTTCGTACACAGTTGCTCTGATTTGACTTCTCTATTACATTTACCATGGCCCTCTATTTTTTTTTTTCCTCAAAACTCTAAATACCCTTGATAATTACATCGTCACACTCTCCGGGTTTCCCTTTCACCATGTATGTTTCTTTCCCAAAGAAGAGTCTACCTACCCTTTCTTATTCCTTAAACATTAGTATAAAGCATGTTTTGTTCTTAGTAGTAACTGGCAGTCTCACCCTTTATTATTTTTTTAACTGCCACTTAGCACACTGAAGACCTATCCATTTCCCTGGGTTTAAGATTTATATGTTCAACTCCTGCATATATATCCACCTTGAGGTCCCTACAGAGTTAAGCCTACTATACCTTAGGGCAAACTCATCCAATCATCCGAACTTGTCCCTCCTCTCATATTTCCTATTTTACTTGGAAATATCATGAACTACATAATAATCTAGGTGAGAAAACAAATGATCTTTGATAACATTCCTATACCACATATTCAACTAATAACCAAGTCTTAGTAATGTCATCAACTAAGTGTTCCTTGATCTGTCACCATTTCCCCACGTCTACTTATACTGCTCTTGCTTAGATCTTTAGAGTTTCTATTCCAGGCTCTACTTATTTCTCTAGCCATTTTCCACATGCACAGAGATCTTGGTTCAATGAGTCAGACAGACATGCGACCATATAACGAGGAAAATGCTATGGCAGGATTTACTAAAAATTCAGAGGGAGTCCAGAGGATGAGCATTTAACTTATAGGATGATAACAAAACTTCTCAGAATAAGTAATACTGAAATTGTCTTAAAATCTGAGTAAGATTTCATTGGAAAAGGGAAGGAGAAAGCACCAGGTAAACAACATAGAGAGTATTACAAACAGCAAAAACAACATGAGCAAAGGCTTGTGTGTAAGAAATTGTGAATAGCTCAGTTTTCTGGAATAACAAGCTTCTATTCTTGCAGGGGCAAGGCACTAAATGGTGAACACAAAAAAATGCAATTATGTGATATATAAATATGTATAAATGATAAACTATATATTACTTACATAAAACAAGATAAGTAGTATAAAAATTTTTTAAAAGAACATATGTTGCAGAAATAGCAATAAAGTCTATCTACATTTTTAGATTTACTTGCAGTTAGGTCAGGGTCATGTGACCTGCTTAGGCCATTGACCCTCTTTCAATCATTCTTTGAGCATTTTTCTGGTCCCTAGTGATGTGACCCTGGAACCCATATGGTAAGAAGCATAACATAAGCAAATTTCCATCAACCGGGGTCCCTGAGATTCTCAGTGGACAGCGCTATTTAGCAAATCCATAATGGATATGTAACACAAATGATATAAAACATTTTGTTGTGAGACCAGTAGGCAATAAGTATTAAGTTAAGGTGACTGGATTTGGGGCCAGAAGGTGGTGTGATGTTTAAAGGTGCTGGACTCCCACATGGCCAACCATGGTTCAAGCCCTGAACCTGGTGGCTTCCTTTCTCACTTTCTCTCTCTCTCTCAGCTCTCATTGCTCAAATTGGAAAATAATAATAATAAATAAAGTTTAAAAAATAAAAAAAGAAAGAAGGTAGCTGGATTCTACATGGCCCACCGTGTGTTCAAGTCCCAGACCTGGTGGCTTAAGAGACATGCCGGATGCCTATGCACGTATGTGCAAAATCTCTAGAGGAGAATAGAGAAGAGACTGTAGCATGGCCATCCCCCTGTGAAGTGATTTCTTACTTCTTCTCTCCCTTTTTCTCTCTCTCTCCATGTGTCTCTCTCTAGCAGGCACACATGCACTATAACAACAAAAGGTTCTGGGAGACTCGCAGTGGAGATCGTCCTCTTTGGAAGAGCTTGATGAATAAATAAAGCAGACATAACTCATCTCTACAAAATTCACTTCTACATAATTCATCTCTCTATTTATGCCCTTGCATTAGCAAAGCTTTTCATTTAGAATAGTAAAAAAAGAAAAAGAAAGAAAGAAAAAGAAAAAGAAAAAGTTAATGGTGATCGAAAACCAGATCCTGAAAATTCCCTGGGCTTTCCTGAACACTTGAATCAACTTGAATTCCTGGACACCTTATTCCCACTGGTACTCAAAGTCTATGGGCAGGCAATTCTGATGAAGAAGAGGAACAAGGGAACCAGCAGTTAGCGTAATGGCTATGTCGCTGGACTCCCACGTAGTTGACCGCGGTTCGCGGTGGCTTAAAACTCACGCCGGGCGCGTGTGCGTGTGTGCCCAAGATCCCAAGAGGAGAATGAAGGAGAAGGGATTGTGGCGTGACCATCCCCCCTGGGGGGTGATTTCTCGCTTTCTGTCTCTATGTCTCTCTCTGTCTGGCTGGCGAGCGCACACGCCCTATAGCGAAAAAAACCTCTCAAAAAAATAAATAAATAAAATAAAATAAAATAAATAAAAAAAGAAGAGGAACAAGATGAGAAAAATGAAGAGTGGTATCAATTCTAAGAAAGAAAAAAAAAAGATCGAAGCAAATTGCTTCTATGGGCTGCTGAAAAGAATCAGCCTACTACTGTGTGGAGACTGCTTTCTGAAAAGGCCACTCATGTGAACACTCGGCATAAGGACAAGTACACGCCTTTCTATTGGGCAGCCTACCCTGGAGACCTAGACGACATCCGTGAGCTGACTGCACCAGGGGCAGATGTCCATGCAGTGACCGTGGATGGCTGGACATCCTGTACAGTGCTTGTAAGTGGAACAACACTCGAGTGGCTTCTTTCTTCAGCATGATGCAGATATCAAAGCCCAGACAAAAGACCTCCTGACCCCTAGCATCTTGCTGCTGAGCACAGAGACAGCAAAGATACCCTAGAACATCTCCTGATGAAACCAGGGCTGAAAAACCACTGGAAGAAACTGTGTTGGATATCACCAGAAGAGCCAGTATTTACCACTACCTCTTTTTTTTTTTCCCAGAGAGTTTTGCTGTAAGGCTTGTGTGCTCGCCAAAGAGACAGAAATGAAAGAAAGAAATCACCCCCCAGGGGGATGGTCGCCCGCAATCCCTTCTCTTCCATTGTCCTCTCAGGATTTTGGGCACTCAAGTACATGTACCCTGTGAATTTTAAGCCGCTGGGTCAGGGACTTGAACCATAGTCGACTACGTGGGAGTCCAGTGATGTAACCATTATGCCATCTGCTAGTCCCTATCACTCACTACCTTTTGGAAATTGTGGAAGGTTGTACAAATTCTTCACCTCAGTCTCAATCATTCTAGTAACTTTCTGAAATTTCTAAGTACTGGTGCCTCCTCGGTGTGGGATGTAAACATCCCCATAATACAAAGTTGACAGCAAAATGTCTTACACAAGAATTTCATGGTACTCATTATAATACTGTTCTAGGTGAATTGCCTGCCCCTGTGTACTTGCCTTTGCCCTTGTTAAAGTGTATTTGAAAGTAGGAGTAGTTAACGTAATGGCTATGTCGCTGGATTCCCACTTAGTCGACCGCGGTTCGAGTCCCGGACCCAGTGGCTTAAAACTCACACCGGGCGCATGTGCGTGCGTGTCCAGGATCCCGAGAGGAGAATGGAGGAGAAGGGATTGCAGCGTGACCATCCCCCCTGGGGGGTGATTTCTCACTTTCTGTCTCTCTCTGTCTGTCTGGCGAGTGCACACACCCTATAGCAAAAATCTCTCCAAAAATAAAGAAAAAGTTATTCAGATATATTGTTGATGATTTCTGTGAGATTTGTTATTTCCATCAGAGATAATTTCAACTGAACCTATGGTTAAAAACTTGACATGGTTGTGCAGAAAATAAACGTATTTTTGGTACTAACCCAAGAGAAATATATTTTTAAATATCCCATATGCTGAGTCTTTGTTGAGTATTTAATATAGTGACATGTATTATTATAAGAGAAGATAACTCGGAATTGACATGAAAAGACTTAAATATACTCATGTAGGTCAGCTGTCTTCTCTACATTATCATCACCAGTTGTTTCTATTTTAAACAAGAAAAACTAACATGTTGGTTACTTGAATCTTCATAAGTGAAAAAAATTTTAAACACAGGTCTTTGTCTTTTAGAACTTTCAGAAAAGCAGTTAGCTTGGTGTTCAATCCATGAATGTTATCTACTGCCTCCCAGACCACAATTTACACCCTCCTGTGGACAGTCCTACCTTGTGCTGGCCATCCTACCTGATCTTATTCTTAGGGCGAGTCAGTGTGACCTTTTAGACATGCACACAACTATACTTTGGTCTAGGTGATCCTAATATACCTGCTCCCCAACTGCTAATAAGTGCTTAATCCTGATGGTCTAGACAGTCCTCATAATGTCATTTGATTGCACACCAAATAGTGATTTTTCCAAGGTCCTCTCTTTATGCAAATAATACAAAGACAGTGACAACAGAAAAGGAATTATAATATTAAGGAGATGACTATTA